GTGTGTGTGTGTGTGTGAGTGTGCCTTGCAGAACATAATCCGAACCCTTGGACCCTGAGTGGACCTGTGGAGACATAACTTGCAGTGCTTGCAGCTCCCCGCCTCGTCCCATACCCATACCCCGCCCCGGTCGGGGCCGCATACACACTTGCATGCACCCCGGAGGCGAGGCAAGGCACAAACACGCTGTGGCCGAGCCGGGGCTCTCGCCCGAAGCAGAGAGGCAAGCAGCCGGAGCCAACGCCTTGCCCTGGTCCCGCCTTGTCCTAGCCCCCGCCCCACCCCCCACCGCTTCCCCTCGCATAGCCCGCACACGGTGGAAACTTTCCGCCGTAATCCAAGTTGTTTGCATCCCATGTGCAATGCCTTTTTACACTCGGTGGGGCGTGCAGCCCCCCCCCCCCCCAACCCCCTTATCCCCAAGTGGAGCCTGCACCGACACCGCCGAGCTCGCTCCTCGCTCGTAACCTACTCCTTTTCTATTTGCTTGCTCGCCGTGGGCGACCGCGCGTTTTTCAGTTGGAGAAACAACTCCGACCTCCTTTTATACGAGCGCCAAAGGAAACTCAAAACCTACGAATTGCAACACACTGTCGAAAATGTTGCAGTAATGACCTCCGTTCCTGCTCCTCTCATTAAAATTTCTCCTCTCGCATCAAAGTTGAAAGCCTACCGACTACATGACCAGGTATGGAATGTGGACTGAGAATGTGCGAAAAGGCCACATAAATTACGGCGTTCCCGGAAACGTTTAAAATTAACGTGCGCACCGATGTACGCCCTAAAAAAAATTCAGGAAAATAAAATTTGGACTTTTTTCCTCGGACTTTTCATTATTTTACAATACTTTGAGTTCTGTGCAACACGTCTGTAAAATACAGTAGTTGTTTGTTGTTCGGGCGCGTCCAGTTCGGTAGGTCCACACAACAGGATGGTGCTTCCGCTCTCCCGACGGGGGTGCACCGCCGGCACGTGGACTGCCTGCACAATGCGTGATATGCGCGATACGTCTGCAATGCGATGCAATCGGGATGCCATATCATTGTGCTGCTGGCTGAATCATAAATGCGGCGAGCGAAACGAAATCGCATGAATCGCTGCGCATATTATCGTCTCCGGTCCGGTCCGGTCGGGTCGGGCGTTTTGATCCCGCCGCCCGCGCGCGCTCGCCCCCGCGTGTGCTGTGCTGCTGCTGCTGCTGCTGCTGCTGCTGCTGCTGCAGCTGTTCGCAAACAACTTGCAGCAGCAGCCCGAGCCGATAACTTTGCGCCGCCAGGGAGCTGTGCTGGATCTAGCAGGGCGCCCGCCTTGAGCACAATCTCAAACTCGCGCGAGGCGCCCGGCGGCCGGGCGGGAGCTGTAGCCGCCTCCACTCGCTCGCCTTAAAGCCCCTCGTCCTCCATACTACTTGAGGGCCCGGCCCGTGACGGCTAAGGCGGCCACGCTCACGCCACGCGGCGCCCCCCGGCCGGCGGCTCACGGCGGCGCTTTAGGGCTTAAGGCGGCCCGCCCTTAAGGCGGAAGTGCCGGCCGACACGTAAACCGGCCTACTCGGAGGTCTGCGGCGGCCGTCAGCGAGCCGTCAACACGGCCGCGCCTCCACCCGACACGACCACCGCCACGCTATCAGCCGGCCGACAGGCCAACACTCGGGGAACGCCCAACAGAGCAGCCGAGGCGAGCCTGCCTGGACCGAGATGAGCTTTAAATGAATTTTGGAATGAATCTACTGTAGAATAAATCTAATTCAGGGAAATAAGAAACGGTTTCTTCGCTTCTAGGAAATTTGAAAGTTACAGAAACTTTACCTAAACTGAAAGAAATTTTATTCCCTCGCGAGATAAAATTTTCTTATGCCTAGGAACTTTTTGCCGAAATCAAGGTAAAAGTTACCTAATACCCAAACTTCGGTCAAAGAAACAATTTTTTATATGTATTTTAGTAAAGAAAACCACCACCAACGTAACACATCTTTTTTCTACACTTTCGTTGTTCGTGCACCAATAATTTCAAGTCTCGAACGATATTCTCCGCCGCGAGCAGCTCGGTATGGTCAAACTGCTGGTCATGGCCGGGGCGAAGAAAGTGGCGCGCGCGGAAGTTTTGCGAGCGAGCCAGTCGAACGTTACGATGGGCTGGGCAATTAACATCGCCAGGGGGACGGCATGCCATGACCCAATGACGCTGACCTGGAAACCCATCCGCGAATGGCTCAAAGCAGGCTTTGGCCCCGCACCCGCCCCACGCCACCGCTCGCCGCCACGCCCTACCGCACCCCATCCCGCTTCGCCCCTCCTCGCAAGGGGGCCATCTTAACGGCCTGGTACGACTTGGCCGGCCGCGCGCTTTACAGCAGAAGGAGGCCCAGCCGCTAAATGGACCGTGAACGGCCACCAAATGCCGTTCTATCAGCTGATATCGCACGACTGTTTTTTTATGATTAGGATTATCACCGTTAGAGGAAATGTTGCCATTAACAGTCCAACTTTTCTAAAAAAAAATAGTCGGAAATGGCTGCGTTCTTCTTGATACAGCAGGACTCGGATTTGTGAAACGCCGAAAAGTATCTGGGTCAGTCCGAACTTTCAGCTGCGTTTCCCACCTGGCCGGGCCACCCAGTCGCTCCCCCACCCCTCCCCTCCCGCGGGGCTGATGTCCGCGTGCAGCGCTCGGGCGAATGCAGCGAAACGGGTGCCAGGAATCTGGTGCTGTCGGCCCCCTCTTAAACTTTATGATGAATTGAAGCGATTTGGAGTGGAGCCCCGCGGACCGGGCGCTGCACTGCTCGGCCCGGCCGGCGCACAGCTGCACCCCCCCCTCCCCAACTCTGTTCTGCTTACTCGCTCGTTATTACGTCGGACCGACCGACCGACAGGCGGACGAACAGACGGACGGGCCGACTCTATCGGACACAATGTTGCAGCGGCGAGCCGATCCCAATCGCAGCGCAGTTAGGCGGAAACTCTCTCTGTGCTGAGCGCGACGAGACGGCGGCGGCGGCCCGGGTGGTGAGCACTGCGGTCGCGATGTGGCGACAAAAGGGCTTTTTGGGGACACTTGATATTGTGTGTCGCCCCCGCGCGCCCGCTGCAGGGGCAGCTGTCAACCATCAACGGATCACTCCTCGTGGTCTAGGGTACCTCATTAATTAATTATTCTACCCCCTACCCCCTTGCATCCGGCTCATACCCCTCCAGAGTTCGTTGCACGCCACTCGTCACTCCCCA